AGAAAAGCTTATTCCCTGGTGACCAGAGGTAAGGAGAGAGAGATGTCCAACCAAAGTGACCAGCAGCAAATAAGGAGGTTTTATGTGGATCCTAGAGCATCCCTCAGAGATTCCGGGATGGGCAGAATAAGGACCCCCACCCTAAATACATCCTTGCACTAATCCCCAGAACCTGTGAACATGTTGAATGATGTGGCAGGTGGGAATCGAAGCCACTGACCTAACAATTGGGAGATTATTCTGTTTTGCGTGGGCAGGCCCAGTGTAACCACAAGATCTCAAAGGCAGAGGGGGAGGGAGTCCCGAAGATTGCATGCGCCCAGGGCTTAAGCACTGTCCTGGCTTCGGAGGTGGGGGGGCCGCAATCAGAGAATACGAGGAATGCAGGCAGAGCCCTCTGCCTCCCCTCGGCCTCCAGGAAGACTGTGGCCCTGTGCGTGTCTTGATCATAGCCCAGTAAGCCTTGTGTTGGACTCCAACTTGCAGAACTATAAGATAATAAATCTGTGTCACTTTAGGCCACTAAAAATGTGGTAATTTGTTATAGCAGCGACAGGAAACAAAGAGAGCTTCCCAGACCCTGTCAGGGGAGGAGAACAGGCTGAGAGTCTGCACACCCCACGATTCCCGGGATGGGGCCTCAGCTGATTGTCACGAGGGTGATAAAGGGCAAGACCCGCCAGGAAGCTGTGGAGGCTGGAAGCACCCAGGATACACACCTGTCCAGCAGGTTAAAGACCGTGAGCCTGAGTGTGAGTTTGCATGGGAACAGGGAGAAAGGGCTGGCAGTCCCCCGGGGCTCCTGGAACTTCCTTCCCCAGGGGGGGATTCCCAGGGCAGGGCCTCAGCCACGCAGGCCCTGTGGTCTGACATATGGGCCTTGGAGAACAAGTCATATTAGCTGAGCTCATTCTGAGAACCACAGCTTCCAAGACTGCCAGATCACCTGCTCTGATCAACAGGACCTGGCCTTGCTCAAGCCAAGATGCTCAGGAGGCCTGATCATAGCCAGAAGCCTCCTGAGCAAATTCCTGATTGGAGTGTTTCACAGCCTCTGCCACCCAAACCCCTCACCAGGCCACAGAGCCACTCCTGGCACCGGGAGCTCGTGAGCATCCTTGGGCCCAGTCCCTGCAACCCCGTCCCCTGACAGGGTGTAGAGGGCACTACCAAGACCCCTTTCCACTCCCTTTCCAGTGTTCCCACCACCAAGCCTTTGCTCCAACCTGGAGCCACTCTGTCATCTGAAAGGGACTTGACTCAAGCCTCTTAAGATCCGTTTCCTGTTGGTGCTAAGGCTTCGCTTTCAGGCCACAGTGGAACCTCCTCTTTCCCCTGTCACTGTTAGAAGCTTCCCTAGAGTTTCTGGGTGCTGACAACATCTCCCAACAGGTTTGTTCCTGAACCAAAAACTCCTGGGAGGTCGAGGGTTAGCAGTGTCTAGACGGAATGCTTACATCCTCGTGGGAGGAGACAGACAATGAAGGTCAACGGGCAGCAGTGCCAAGGTCAAAATTAAACCAGGGAAAAAGGGTTGCCAAGTGACAGAGGCAGTCAGGGAAGACCATACTGCAAAAGTGGCCGCCCACCCTCAGGAGATGGCTCCCTTCCTTATTGGTAAGTCAGTGACGGGAAAAACAGAACTCACTTCATCAGGCTGACGTGAGGGCGAAATGAGTCAGTGCCTGCCGGGTACACAGAACCCTGTCTGTGCTGTAAGTACTTAATAAATACAAGCTATCCTTATGATCATCACCTTGATCAATGCCTTTCTGGGGACTTCAATGTCTTTCAAACATCCAAATTAGTTTGTGTCAGGAGTTTAAGGATGGAAAATATGATATGTAATATGATATGTATACGACGCCAAAAACTCATAACAGACATCACTGATCAATTCCCGAATCCCTGAACCTGAAATGCCCCAGAAATCCTTCTCCACATAGCCCTTTAGGCAGTCCCCATCCAACCATGGGAATCGGCAGGTGAAAAGAAACACACGTGGCCAGGGACAGCTTCGTCTTTTGAATTCCTCCTATTATTTTCATCCCCTCACTATGTGACAGTAATTTCCTCCGTCACCAAGAGCTGATATCCACTTCATCCATCCTTCCTGTGAACTGATAATCACTATCTGCTTTGGGTTCAAAGAAAAGAAAACTTCACAATGCCTATGGGGCTTCTGTAAGATAAGGCAAACCTTATGCTATCAGCTGTCCAGCGATTTTGTGCTATTTCCTTGGGAAAATAAAAAGTCTCAACTTCCTGTGTTCCTCCTTTTCTTAATATGACAACAGGTCTTCAGGGACAGGTGTGACAGTGGATCAGCTGTCCTTAGGAAGAAAGAGGCTTTCACACAAAGTCCTTGCCCCCCTGTGTAATGGTAAAATCCCTGCAACCCAACAACGGCTCCTTCTCACCCCACATTCTCTTCTGCTTGTTCAGACAGTTCAAGCCTGAAATTAAGTAGCACATTAGAGTACTGATACTCAGGAGCCTATTAAACACCAGACCCATGGAATTTTCTTAGAACTGTAAAACAAAACCAATACAACTCATGTGTAGAGAATGATTATACTCACCCATGCAGACCATGTGTCCGAAAGGGAGATTCCCACAGGAAAACACAGCCAGAGGAGACCCTGCTAGTGTCTTTAAACTAGAGTCTTCCTGGTTCTCCCAGGACTAGGAGGGGTCCCCCCAAGGGCGAGGCCAGTGAGGACTCTGGTTCTCACTGAAAGCAGGATTTTACCCCCAATTTTTGTTTTTTAAATATCAAACTTGCAGAAAGGTTGAAAAACAATTGAACAAACTCCCATTTACCCTTCACCAATTGTGTGGGAGTGGGGAACAGCTATTTTTGCTAAGCCATTTGGATTAAGTTGCAAACAAAGGTCACCTCACCCCTAAAATACTTCACCTGCATCTCTTAAAAGAAGGATATTCTCTTCACCACAATATCATCATCAGAGCTAAGAAATTTAACATGAAGATAATGTTTCTTAATAGACAATTCTTATTCAAATTTCCCCAATTATCTCTCAAATATCTTTTACATCCTTTTACAAAAAAATAATTATCTGCATTCAATTAAAGTTCACACATTGTATTTGACTGTTTAACATATTTTTAATCTAGAGCTGTCTCCCTACTTTTTTTTTTTTTTTGTCTTTCATGACATTGACATTTTGGAAGAGTCCCATGGACTATCCCCTAATCTCTATTGGCCTACTGGCTCCTCGTGAGGCAATCTGAATTAGCATAGGTTTCATGTTCTTCCTAATCCAGCACAGAATGTCAGTTTGTCCCCTTATTTTGTAAATCTAATTTTGATCACTCAGCTAAGGTGACATCTGACAGCTCGTGTCTCCACAAATAAGATGTGATCTATGAGGCAAAACTCCAACATCCGGTACCCAACAGCCCTCATCCATTGGCATTATCATGGGTTCTTTAGAAAGCCTGATTCTCTAATTCTATCACTCCTTTTTCAATGATTAGCTGGCATTCTTCTGTGAAGACAAGCTAAAATCTGGGTTTTCAACTAAGTCACATTTAAAACAGCAAATGTCTTCCGCTACAAATGTAACAGTGCACACAATGCACCCTGGAAGCACCAAAGCATTTCCAAAAGTGGAAAATGCCACATTGGTGGTCCCTGCTGTCTTCCTCTCCTCCCTCTTCTTCCCTCCAACTGTTCCTCTCACTGAGCCCTTGGTTGCCGGTGCGAGTGGGACAGCTTCATGTACATCCTCGCGTCCAGTTGCTCCCAGCCACCCTGTAGGTAGCTGTATCAGTCCCGTGGTGCAGACGAGGAAACTGAATCACAGAAACAACTTGCCCAAGGACACTCGGTGAGTGACAGACCTGGGATTTGGACCCAGACCCATTCAACGTGAAAGGTCATGTTCCTGCCCAAATACATTCCTAAACTATTGAATTCTCGTTTTCATGGACAGATGCAACAGCCACAGCAGCCCTTGATAGTTATTGATTGCTAAAGAATTCATCCTTCCTCCAAAGTTATAGCAACACGAACTTAAAAGGTCAGAAGAATCACAATGAAATAGTGACTGTGGTGAATCATTTTGTACCTTCCTCTTTATACATCAACATTTCCCAATGAGCATGCATTGCTTTTGTAATAAATATAAATAGTGCTTTAAAGGAGAAAAAAAAAGGGGATTGGGCAAATTCCTAGAAGTCAGATTGAGAAACACTCCTCCTGGGGGCTGTCTGTCCCTATCAGAGCCAGGAGCCACAGGGCGGACCCATGGGCACCTACCTGGCCTTATGTGCTAGCAGGTGACAATTTAGCAACGTACGTGACTCATCATCCACCAAACCAATTGGGGAAAAAAAATCCACTTCATTGTGGTCCCATGTTTCCAGAGCCCTAATCCCAGCCCACTTTGTGCCACGTTCCAGGCAGCTCTCAAGGTCAGAGAAGCCTGCACCCCTGACCTCAAATTGTTAACAATAAGAGCAAGACAAGGAAACACACAGGAAACCAACGTGAGAAGGACGAGATAAGACTGCTCAGGGGCAGAAGAGCATGACCATCACCGGGAAGGTGAAATACAGAAGAGTCAAGAAGTTTCTAGAAAGAATCAGACCAGATGGTCATTACTCAGAGGTTTTATAAGATTCTGGGTCTTTGAAACTTTCCCATAATTCTTATTTTTGTTACTCCCTATCTGTTGCCCTATAGCCTTCAGCAAAGAGAGAGATTGAGAAAGAGAGAGAGAGAGAGAGAGAGAGAAGAATTAGTAGGGAGGTTGAATTCCATTACAAACCCATATATAATTCTGAATGACAAAAAGCCACCATAAGACAAGTCCCACCGTGAAGAGCCTAGAAGTCATGACTTCTACCCTCAAAACCAGAAAAAAACTGAACAAACTGAAAATCAACCACTTTCCTTAGATCCCTTGGAGAACTGAAGTGGGGGGGGGGGTAAATCACCCACCTGAGAACAGGAGACAGGAGCCGTGACTTACCTGGAACAGAAGCCACCCCTGGAGGCAGTAGGAGATGGTAGGAACATTCGAATGGCAAGTGACAAATTGCTGGAGGCTAACGTGGACTAGTTTGGGTTAAAAATTCCTAGGGTCCCGTCTCAGGGGTCCCCGCTGTCTCTCTGGGTTTTACTGCAGGAGCGACCCACCAGGTTCTCACTCTGAAGATGAGAGAAAATCCCGGGGCTTCAGACCCAGAGAGGAGGAAAGTAACCATTTCACAATCCGCCCAAGGAAAAGTAACCATTTTGAAAGCCCAGAACATTCTGTTCCCTCACCAAGGCCTAGCGCGAAGGGACACGGCTCCACCAGGGCCTTATCTTCTGTAGGAAGGCTAGTGGGGCAGCCTGGCCCTCCAGTCTCTCGTCCCGGCAGAGAAAGAAGGACCAGGAACCACTTCTGAAGGCCACAGCCCAAGGACTCAGGCCCAGCAGGACTTTTCACAAGACTGTAGAACACTCTCCTTCCCCAGCAGCTGATGGTGTTAGTTTCCTCGGGCTCCCATCGCAGACACGACCCACCAGGTGACATAAACAACAGAAATTCATTCTCTCACAGGTCTGGAAGCTGGGAGTCCAAAATGAGGACCTTGTCAGGGCCACCCCTCTCCTTCCCTGAAGGCGCGAGGGAAGAATCCTTCTTGGTCTCTTCCTGGTTTCTGAGGCTGGTAGCCATCCACAGGATTCCTTGGTTTGCTTGCGGCTGTATCATCCAATCTCTGACTCTATTGTCACATGGCCTTTCCTATGCAGGGGAGACAAAATTTTATCTTTCCATCCTTAAGATTTTAATCTAAGCCTAAGAATTAAAGTAACCTAGATTCTAAAAGCCTGAGAATTAAAGTAAAGTAGGACAGGAGAAAAGCATGCAAATGTACTTAGTAAAAACTTTATGTGACCCAGGAGCCCTCAGGAGGAAATTGTTTTGGACCCTTTTGCGTTGCTGTAATAGCATGCCATGGACGGGTGATCTTTAAAAAAAAAAAAAAAAAGTCATTTCTCAGAGTTGTGGAGGCTGGGGAGTTTAAGATCAAAGTGTCACTTACAAGTTCATTGTCCAGCAAGGGTCCAGTGTCTGCTCCAAAATGTTGCTGAGTCCTCACATGGAGAAGAGCCCGGCCTCATTCCTTCTTAGCAGCTTTAATCCATTCATGAAGGTGCAGCCCTGGTGACACCTCCGCCTAGGCCCCCCCTCCCAACAATTGGAGGATTCAGTTGCACTGGGGACCTAAGTGTCCAGCACATAAATTTGGAGGGACATTCATACCAAAGCAGAAATGAAGACCTGAAGGAGTAGTCAGAGTCGAACACTTAATACACTGAGTTGGACCAAAAAAAAAAAGGTAAGATGTGAAAATGTGATTAGGCAAAGGGGTGTGAGCTGGGGTTGTTATAGGAAGGGAAGGCTAGTTTAACCAGGTTCATTTGTACATTTCTCTCGGCTACGAATTTTGTCTTCAATGATAAGAATGTTACTTTCCTATCCAGGTTCATAGCAGCACAATTCACAATAGCCTAACTATGGAACCAGCCTAGGTGTCGTCCATCAATGGATGAATGAATGAAGAACATGTGGTACATATGCGCACAGTCAGCCACAGAGAAGAATGAAATCGCATCATTTGCAGGAAAATGGATGGAACCTGAGAACGTTATGAGTTAAAGGCACTCAGGTGGTCAAGGGACATGTTTTCTCTCATAGGTGGAAACTAGAGTGGAAAAGGAGGGAGGGAGTGTTTGCTGGAGGGATGTCTCATGAAAGCCAAAGGGAGATCAGTAGAATAAAGGAAACGGATGAGAAGGAAGAAAGGGGAAGGGAAGGGAGAGACACTGGGGAATGATATTGGCCAAATTATATTGCTCTGATGTGTGCATGTACAGATACGTAACAACGAATCCCACTTACCATAATGTACCAATAAGATATGGAAAAAAATGCCTTTTTCTTCCTGGTATAGGGGGCATATCATCCATTTGGGGAAGGCAGATATTATCTCCCACCTTCAGGAAGAAAATGGGGAAGACTGGAGTATCCTTCTTGTTTTGCTTTTTTGGTTTGTTTTTGTTTTTGTTTTTGCAGTACCAGGAATTGAATCCTGGGGTGCTATGCCACTGAGCCACATCCCCATATCCCCAGCCCTTTTTTATTTTTTGAGACAGGATCTAACTTGTAGAGGCTGTTCTCAAACTTGCAATTCTCCTCTCTCAGCCTCCTGAGTAGCTGGTCTCTTGAGGCTGCCCAGGTAGGCCTTGAACTTTCAATCCTCCTGCCGCAACTTCTCCAGTAGCTGAGATTACTGGCGTTCTCCACCACATCCAGATGTACATGCTATTTTTTTTTTAAAGTTAACGTTAACTTAAATAATCCTTATACAAAGTGGGCCATTTGGGAGTGGGGAGATGTACTGAATTCCTTCACTTCTGTGTCCATGTGTATCTTTGTCTCTTCTTTTAAAGATGCCACTTGATTTAGGACCTCCCCTAACCCAGTATGACCTCACCTTAACTAATTACATGGCAAAGACCCTACTTCCAAATAAGCCCACGTTCTGAAGTTCCAGGTAAACGTGTATTTGGGATGGGGTAGAGAGAGAAGATGTGAGGGGAGGGGAGGGGGGATAGTAGGGGATAGGAAAGGTAGCAGAATACAACAGTTACTAATAGGGCATTATGTAAAATTGTGGATGTGTAACCGACGTGATTCTGCAATCTGCATTTGGGGTAAAAATTGGGAGTTCATAACCCACTTCAATCTAATGTATGAAATATGATATGTCAAGAGCTTTGTAATGTTGTGAACAACCAATTAAAAAAAAAAGAAAAAAAAAAACCATGTATTTGGGGAAGACACTCAACGACAGGCTCCAGTGTAATTGAAGTAGATGACAGCTGAGAGAGCTGTGCGACACTGTGACACAGGCTCCATTTAAGAGGATGTGCTTAGGGAAGCCAAAATCCACAGAGAAGAACTGTCCCCAACACCAAAGAAAGAGAACTGAAGTCACTGGCCCCTGTGCATACAGCAAACCTTACCCAAACCTCAGTCCTTGGTCAGATCAGAAGGCCTCACCCTGAAGGCCTGATCACCTCCAGTCCTATCACCACAATCATGTGTCCAGAGTTCAACAGAAAATTACAAGACACGTTAAAGGCGATTAAAACCTCAGTCCACAGAGACCGAAGCAAGCGTCAAAACCAAACCCAGATCTGCCCCAGATTTTGGAATTATCATCTAGGAAATCAAATAACTATGATTAATATGTTAAGGATTCTAGTAGAAAAAAAATAAGAGATTGTGCAGGAATGCACACTGTTATTTTTGTTACACATAACAAAAGCAGAGATGGAAACTCAAAGAACCAAAAGGAAACACTAGAAATCACATCTGAAATGAAGGGAAGAAAATAGGACAGAATATCCAAGAACCAAAGGATGATTTTTTAAAATTATTTTTTATTTTTTTGGTGCTGAGGATTGAGCCCAGGGCCTTGTGCATGCAAAGCAAGCACTCTACCCCAACTGAGCTGTATCCCCAGCCCCAAGGACAATTTTAAAAGGTATAATATATGTAATGGAAATGTCTGAAGGAGAAGAAAGTAAGAAAAGAGCAAAAGTATTTGAAGTAATAACGACTGAGGATTTTCCAAAGTTAGTGGCAGACATGAAACCACAGATATGAAGAACTCAGGGAATAATAAGCAGAATTTTAAAAATATATTCAAACTGCAGACAACCACAGATATAGAGAAAATCTTGGAGAGAAAAAATGGGAGAAAACCTCACCTGTAAGGAACAAGAACAAGAGTACATTGGATTCTTTATCTGAAACCATGCAAGAAATTGAAATATTTGAAATGTGTAAGAGAGCTAAGACACCTTTCCTCTACCCTTACCAGGTTCAAAACTAAGACTTTTTTTTTTTTAAAACAAAAAACAGATTAACAAGAGAAAACCATGCACATTTATTTTACATGATATGGGGGCTGTTGTAATAAAATGAGACTAGAAGAAAATGATTAAACTTGTGATTTATCTTTTTATCCTAGGTTTGATGAAGAGTGGACAATCCTGGGGAAATATGGTTGGACAGAGTATGATACAGTGGTAAACTGGGGGAGATTTAGCAAGTTCCTCTTTGTTCAGATCCTTGAATCCCTTCATCTTCAAAGATCAGGACGGTCCTTTCCTCTGTGAATAGGAACAGCCTCTCACATGAGGTTTTATGACCTACTTCAGGGGAAAATTAAGGGAGGAGGGGCAAAGGGGTCTTCTCCCTTCTGCTGTTCAAATATCAGGGTGGTCTGACTGTGTCCCTCCAAACCTCATGTTGAATCTAATCCCCACTCTCGTGGCATTAAGCCCTGGGGCTTTAAGCCAGCCTCAGCAACTTCGTGAGGTGCTAAGCTACTCAGTGAGACCCTGTCTCTACATGAAATGCGAAAATGGGCTGGGGTTGTGGCTCAGTGGTGAAGCACCCCCTGGGTTTAATCCCTGGTACAAAAAGGGGGGAGAGAAAGAGGTGGGGCTTGGAGGAAGGTAGTAAAATATCAGTGGGATTCAAGCCCTGATAAAGGAGGGGGAAGAGAGAATGTAGCCCCTGCCACCAGGTGAGTACATTGGTATTTGCCCGTCTGCCATGTGAGGAAGCAACCAGGTGCCATCTTGGAAACAGGAGCTGCCTTCACCCAAACACCAAATCTTCCAGCTCCTTGGTCTTGGAGTTTCAGCTGCAGAACTAAAAGAAATAAGTTTCTGTTGTTTATAAATGACACAGCCTCAGGGACTTTGCGGTAGGAGTCTGAACAGTGCCGTATGGTAGGGTATCGGGTCCTGAACCCATCAGCTAAAAACAGACAAAAACCAAACCCACCAACCTAGAACTCTGTACCCAGTGAAAAAAGTGAAGGCTAAATGAAGACTTCCCCGGATAAATCAAAACTAGAGGGAGTTGGTTTCTGGAAGCCCTGTGTTATAGAAAGTGTCAAAAGTTCAGAGAGAAGGAAAATGACAGAGGTCACAAGCTCAAAATTACATACAGAAAGGAAGAGAGAGAAGGAATAAATTAAGGCAAAATAAATCCTTTCCCTTTTCTTGTTCTTAATTGAGCTAATAGATAATTGTTCAGAGCAGTGATAGCAACAATGTATCGGGTGGGTATAGCTTATGGACAGTCAAATGAATGGCAGTGTGTCATAAGGCCGAGGACAGAGGAATCCAGAATACCTTGCGTATGTTACCTGCACTCCCAGGAAAGCTATGTAGCAGTGTTTGATGGTAGACTGAGATTAGTTGTAAATGTCCACCTACAAACTCCAGGTCGACAGATCAGTAAAAGAGGTCTCACCAATATACTAAGGGGGAGAGAAAGTGGAGCCATATGAGAAGCTCAGTTAAAACCAGAGAAGGTGCAAAAGGAGCAGAGGTTTGGTAAAATAAAGAACAAGTACAACCAATAGAGAGCAATTACAGACCAATCATTATCTTTAAGTGAATGGTCTAAGGCCTATTTTAAAAAAACAGAATGGATAAAAAGACAAGACCCAATTATAGGTTGTCTACTAAAAACCCACTTTAAATATAAAAACAGAGAGAGAGTAAAAGTAAAGGAATAAGCTGGGCATGGTGGTGCACACCTGTAATCCCAGCAACTTGGGAGACGTGGCAGAAGGATCGCAAGTTCAAGGGCAGCCTCAGTAACTTAACAAGACTCTGTCCCAAATTTTTTAAAAATTACATATATGAAAGGCTGGGGGGTGTAGCTCAATCCCCAGCATCAAAAAATAAATAAATAAAAGTAAAGGGAAAAAAAAGCCTTTAAGAGGAAAGAAATTTTCCTGGGCACAATGGTGCACGCCTGTGATCACAGCTACTTAGAAGACTGAGGCAGGAGGGTCCCAAGTTCAAGCCTAAGACAGAAAACTGAACATTTAGGAGACCTTGTCTCTAAACCAAAAGGGCTGGGGGTGCAGCTCAGTAGTAGAGTGCTTGCCTAGCATGTGTGAGCCCTACATTCCATCCCCAGTACTGCAAAAAAAAAAAAAAAAGGAAGGAAATTGTGACACATGCTTCAACATGGATGAGTTTGAGCATGTCATCCTAGGTTAAATAAGCATAGTGCAAAGGGACAAATAGTGTATGGTTCCATTTAGGTGAGACACTGGGAGTGGGCACATTCACACAGAGAGAAAGCAGGATGGGGGTTCCCAGAGGCCGGGGCTGAGGAATGCCTTGGAAGTTTTGTTTAGTGGGTTTAGAGTTTCGGCCTTGCGAGATGACGAGAGTTCTGAGCCACTCCAAAGCCAACCAGACTCCACCCTGAGTCTGCTGGGGATGGACAGCGCTGGGGTCTGCACAGCCACTGAAGGTCGGTGAACCTCACACCTGAGCACAGTGCAGGTGACCAGTTTTACATTATTTTTATTTTGCCACAATAAAAACTAGTTTGTTTATTTTAAATAAAGGATTCGGGGAAAGTAAAGGAATGCATTCAAAGAAAGAAAGCTGAGGTAAATATTCGTATGTCTGACAAAGCAGACTTCAGAACAAGGAAAATGGAAAACAAGAATGAAGAAGGGCATTACATTATGGAATAGGGTCTACCGTCCAATAAAGTATAAAAATCCTTCATGTGCATGTGCCTAACAGTGCCAAACTAAGAGGGGAAAACCGATAGAAAGGCAAGGGAAAATAGAAAATTGTGCAGCTGTGGGAGATTTCAAAACCCCTCTGTCAATAGTTGGCAGATCTAACAAACAGAAAATCAATAAGGATACAGCTGAATCGAACAGCACCCTCAGGGAATGGGATCCAACAGGCATTTATAAATATTTCATCCCAAAACAGCAGAATTCACACTCTTTTTTATAATTTTTTATTTGTTTTAATTAGTTACACATGACAGTACAATGACCTTGAGATATCATACATTTGAATCAGATAGGATATAATTTCTCATTTTTCTGAGTGTACAGGTTGCAGAATCACATTGGTCATGCAGTCACATATATACACACAGCAATAATAATGTCTATTTTATTCTGCTGTCCTTCCTTTCCCCCTTGCCCTCCCCTCCAGGGGGGAAGGAAGGACAGCAGAATAAAACAGAATTCTCACTCTTATCAAGCTCACATAGACCATTTGCCAGAGACCACATTGTAGGTCATGCTAAATAAGTTTAAAAGGACAGAAATCATACAATGTGTGTCCTCTGCCCACAATGGAATTAACAATAGAAAAGAAGAGAGGGGCTGGGGATTGGCTCAAGTGGCAGTGTGCTCACCTGGCATATGCGGGGCGCTGGGTTCGATCCTCAGCACCACAAAAAAATAAAATAAAGATGTTGTGTCCACCAAAAACTAAAAAATAAATATTAAAAAAATTCTCTCTCTCTCTTTCTCTCTCTCTCTTAAAAAAAAAAAAGAGAATCTAGAAATCAATATCAGAAAGATAGCTACAGAATTCCAAGATATTTGGAGATTTAACACCACCTTATAAATAACACCTGGGTCAAAAAAATCTTAAAAGAACTTTAACATATTTTGAACTAAATCAAAATGAAAATACAGTCTATGAAGCCAGTGATATGGCAGGCATCTAAGCCCAGCTATGTGGGAGGATGAGACAGGAAGATCTTTGGAGCCCAGGAGCTCCCGGCCAGACTGGGCAATGCAGTAACTGTCTCTTAAAGGAAAATCAGAAAGGCTGTGGGTGTAACTCAGTGGTAGAGTGTTTGCCTAGCATAGGCAAGGCTCTGGTTTCCGTCCCCAGCACCACACAGAAAAGGAAGGAAGGAAGGGAGGGAGGAAGGAAGGAAGGAAGGAAGGAAGGAAGGAAGATCAGCTTATCAAAATTTTCCAAATGCAGCAAAAACAGTTTTGAGAAGAAAATTACAGTGTTGAATGCACATATGAGAAAAAATATCCAAAAATTAATAATCTAAGTTTTTAGCTGAAGAAACTAGATAAATAAAAGTGATATAAACCCAAAGTAAGCAGAAGAAAAGAGATGGTAAACACCAAAGCAGAAATCAATGAACTTGGAAATAGGAAATCGATAGAGAAAATTAACAAGACCAAAAAGGTGATTCTAGATAAACTTCTAGTCTGGCTAATCAAAGAGAGAAGAAGTAAATTGCTAATATAAGGCAGAGACAGGAGCAATCACTACTAATCCCATGGACAGTAAAAGGAGAAGTGATATTTTTAACAACTCTATGCCTGTGAATGTGATAACTAAGATAAAATGTATAAATTTCTTGAAAAATACAATGTATTGAAATTTAAACAAGGAGGAACCCATAACCTGAATACCTACATCTATTAATGAAACAACAAGGAAACTTCTGGAACTAATAGGTACTATAACAAGGCTGCAGACTACAGGTTGATAACCAAATGTCAGTGGCTTAAAAATGAATCCCTGCATCTACCAATGATACCCAGTCAACAATTAAACAAACTTTCAAAAAAGAAACATGAGTTAAATCAGTCAAAATAGAAATCTTTATGTATATTTTACCACAAAATTTTTAAAATTAATTTTAATATCCATGATAAAGTGTGTTCATATATTATCCAAACTAGGACACTATTGGGGTGAAAGTGGAGGCTTTTACTGCACTGGACCCCAGGGATAAAGGAGATCACCCTGGGTGGCTCCCATAGCCCCCAAATATCCTGGCCCTCCGCAGCAGGGCCAAATATCCTGGCAATTATGCAGCAGGGTGACTGTGGAGGAAACTGCAGAATTAAAAGTGCTCAGATATAATTATGCCTGTTCTGTAACGTCACATTTTTTTTTTTAAAATTTGGCCACTGAATTTGTTAAAATAAAATTGCCACCATAATTTTTCAACAGTTTTCAGATTTATGGTTTTCTCGCAGTAGTGCTACGCGGGGACTCGGGGCTGCGCTCTGAGGGGCGTCCTGAGCCCAGCTGCGGGTGCGGTGCACTGAGCCAGGGCAGCGCGGCAGGCACCTCCTGCCTCCGCGCCCCGGCCTCCACGTCAACCCCGGCCTCCACGTCAACCCCGGCCCTCCTTCAGGCGGGTCTTAGCAAAGGCTCCCACCAATCTTCCCTGGTTCCCCATGGAGTTTCCGAATTCTCCAGGGCTTCTCTTGGGTTTTCCGTCCATTTTAGGCCAACTGAAGAATCCACAGTGAAGAGAAGGGTGTCAACTGGCCCGCAGCAGCGGAGGGAGGCCGGGGAGTCCTGGAGCAGGGCGCCAACACCTGGCGAGGGCCGTCCTGCTGCGCGTTCTAAGCGGGACAGGACAAGGGCAGAGAGCACAGGGGGCCAAACCCGCTCCCAGACAAACCCACTCCCTGGATGACGCCCTTTAAGCCCCCAGAGGGCAGAGCCCTCTGGCCCCCGCACCCCTTATCATCCCTGTCCTCCCCACACTGTGGCGCTGGGGATTGCGTTTCCAACCCATGAACTCTGGGCATCCCACGGCTTTAGGCAGGAGGGTAGCAAGGTAATGGTTGGTGTTGATTAGCATTAAAACAGCCTAATTAACACCATTAGTCCACCGTAGGGGAACCCCTGCACCTGCCCAGTGAACCCTGGGCGGTTCCCCTGGATTGTCAAGAGCCAGTGAGGGGCCAGGGTAGAGAGCCACCCCCATCTGGTTCTGGCCATGGTGGGAACCAGCAATTCATCTGCGCGGTTCGCACACAGGAAGTGGTAACCTCGCCCGCGCGGCTCTGACTCACGGGCGCCCCTGCTCCAGAGCCCGAGCTCACCAGCACCAGCAGCCCTGAGCTAAGGCGCCCGCTGAAAGTCCCCCAGGGGGCTGGTGGTGAGAAGCTTGCTGTCCCCATTCATGTGGTTTTGTCAGGATGCCTGGATTCTCAGGCCTGGGCCAGGCTATTGCCATCACCTAAATATTTAAAAAGAGCCCTAAAGGTCACCTGTCCCAATGATTATTTCACACCCCTCACCCCACACTCAATAACACCGCCTGTTTTTCTAGATTCCCATGAAACATGGTAAGTGTGGCCAAGTGCTGCAAAAAGGTGGGTTTTGGGGGGCTGGGGTTGTGGCTCAGTGGTAGAGCGCTTGCCTTGCACATGTGAGACACTGGGTTCGATCCTCAGCACCACATAAAAAAAAAATCAGTAAAACAAAGGTACTGTGTTCCATGTTCAACTAAAAAACATTTTTAAAAAGTGGGGTTTTGGTTTTTTGTTTTTTGGATTTTTTTTTCTTTTTTAAGCTAAATATGGCTAACATCATATTTAGCAAATAACAGGATTCTCCTCCTATAGCCTGAACCTCTGGGGTCATCAAGTTTGTGTAACAATAACAAAGATTGATCTTACTTACAGGAAATTAGGAGTTTTCAGCAGACCTGGAAGCCAAAGGGCATGTCCTGTGACTTCCTCAGCTTGTGCCAGAATGAGGATACACCCACTGGGATGGCTGTAATCAAAACAAGGAAAATAGCAGGTGTTGGTGTCCACGTGAAGAAACTGCAGCCCGCACAATGCTGGTATAAAGGTATAAAAATGTATAAAATGTAAAATGGTACAGCTGGTGTGGAAACAGTTTGGCAGTTCATCAAAAAGTTAAATAGAGGACTGGGGCGTGGCTCAGAGGCAGCGCACTTGCCTAGCATGCAGGTTCATGAACCTCTGGGTTCCACCAAAAAAAAGCTAAACAGAATTGCCGTATAACCCAGGAATCCCATTCCTAGGCATATACGAAAAGAATAGAAGAAAGCAGGTATTCAAACAAAAATTTATATATGAGTGTTTGAGAATTCACCAGAATTCCCAAGATGGGACAAAAACATAGAAGCATTCAGCTGTCCCTCAGCTGATGGGGTGAGCAAGCTGTCATTAGCAGAGATGGAACCGTTTGTGCCTCTCCACAATATCAGGAGTTATCAAACAGTAAGCTCACAGCCACACCACTGTCCCCGGCAGCAGTTCTCTGAATACTTGGGGGTGACCTCCTATCACAAGCTGAGCAATCACAGCTTCCTCTGTTCCAATCTTAACATCTAATATCTATGACCCCCATGTCACCCGGCACCACTTTACACAGTTATGTGTGTAGGTTACGGAAAGGCCAAGGCAGCCTGGGGGCTCAGGGGGCTGAGCTGAGGGCGGAGGCAGAGGCAGGTGGGAATGGGAGCCCCTGTGGGTGGGCAGGTAGGGTTAGGACCAGCCAGGGACCAGCTCGGGCGCAGAGCTGTCCAAGGCTGGAGCTTACTCTAGGCCCAGGTCCTGACTGAAGGCAGTGTGGCAGGGTCAGCTTGGAGTGGGCCTTGCGTGGCGGGCACTGGCAGGAGAAAGCGCGCTCCGCTAAAGCCCAAGGACAGAGGTTCCGAGGTCCACCGCTGTGGCAGGTTTTCTGGGCAAAGCTCATGATGAGTGACCAGGTGACTGGTCAGGATGCTGTCCCGTCCAGTCATGGGGTGCCCTACTTTTGTGGCCCTCGAGGGAGGGGTGCTCCACGTGGTCTGGTGTGTGATAAGCTCTTGGCTGGTTATTGCATGACACGCCCATGCATCCGTGAGCTGCTGGTTAGCTCTGGAAGTCCACAGGTGAGCATTCTGATTAGCACAACGCATTTGTTTATCGGTTTTCGCCTTACAGCTGTACCAGGGAGATGGCGGCTGTTTACTTGTGCAAACTAGGTGTAGAGTCCTCTCACCTCAGCACGAAACTCAGAATGGAGCAGCCTACGGACAACCCCTGCTGACAAGATGGAGTAGCAGAGGCTCAGACAGCCGAGAACCGCTGCTCTGTACGTGGTGGACTAACTCAGAGCTGCCCACACACAGGCAGTGCTAATCCACACAATGGGATAGTTACCCTAAAAAGGTGGTACCGTTGCACACTGCAACATGGGTGAACCTTGAAAGAGGCTAAGTGAAGGAAGTCAGACCCAAAAGGATAACACGTATTGCATGATTCCATGAAATATCCAGAACAGGCAGTTTGTGGTTGCCAGGGTTGGGATGAGGGGAGATGGGAAGGGACCGCTTAGTGGATATGAGCTTTCCCCATGTGGTGAGAAAACGTGATGCATTCACAACATGTGAATGTACTGAAAGCTGCTGAAGGTTCACTTTACGGTGGCAAAAGGGGTGAATTTGATGTTGTATGGATTTGGTCTCTTTTTTTTTTTTTTTTTAAGAGAGTGAGAGAGGAGAGAGAGAGAGAGAGAGAATTTTAATATTTATTTATTTTTTTTTTAGTTCTCGGCGGACACAACATCTTTGTTGGTATGTGGTGCTGAGGATCGAACCTGGGCCGCACGCATGCCAGGCGAGCGCGCTACCACTTGAGCCACATCCCCAGCCCTTGGTCTCATTCTTTAAAAAGCCTGTATTAGACTAAGGCAAGTGTTGGCATAGAAACTAATTCCTTGACTAGTGCTGAAGACCAGTAGCTTAGTAAGCAATTTTATTTATTCATCATAATTAGGCTTTAAGCTGCTTTATGTCTCTGAAGGCTTTTAGAAAGAAAACCAAATTAAGTCCTTTTCCATGTCCACCTGTAAAAATGGAAATTTTTATTGTTGTTGTTTAACTTGTCTTTTTTGTTGTTGTTATCCAAATGAAAAAAAAACTTTTTTTTCTTATTTTTTTGTTGTTATTGTTGTTGTTGTTGCTGTTCATTTGTTTTTAAAGTATAGTTCTGTTTGTGTTCAGAGAATTCAAATATCCAAAGGAAGCTTCTTTCACTAAATTGCCTTTATTACAAGGGAATGTATTAGTTCAAACTAATAAATACTTACTATATAAAAAGAGGTGGGAAAAGAAAGAAAGTAGCTCTCTCCTTGCCACATTTCATAATCTTCCAATCCCCTTCTCCAAAAGCCATCTCCAAAGCCACCCGTGTTCCAAGAGACTCAGACAGCTGGAGGCCAGCCAAAGGAGTCAGCCCACAGCAAGGCCACAACTCTCCGCCTTTGCAGGGTGTGCCAGTTCCCGAGCACCCAGGTCTTCCCCATGCCCCAGCCCCTGGTAGCCCAGGGTTTCCCCAGGTAGACAATCGATAGATTGGACAAAAACCAATAAGGAATGGGTTTCACACAAAGGCAGAGTGTTCCAACATGGGAAGGAAAGAAAGTGGGCACCAGGGATCCTTATCAATAGTAAATTTCAGTAACGTGATGAGGATACACAGTGTACTGTATTTTGTATCAAAACTAGAGAAAATAAGAATGTGTAGGGGTACTTCAAGCTCAATGGGATCATGCCAGAGGCAAGCCAGCCTGAGGGATCCTGCTGGGCAGAGGCAAGTCCATTCGAACATCAAAATAAATAACAATACTATCTGATCATCACCGTTTTAAACCCATGAATCCTCAGGGAATAATTTTTGGGAGAAAGAAATACAGGAACTGTAAAACAGAAACAAATGGAAGGGTTAACTGCAGAGTGGAGGAACGGGGCGAAGGGACAGAACAATCCACTCTTCTGCCTTTTTGTATCATTTTAATGTTTGAACCATATACATGTTTTACATATTCAAAAAATAAAAAAAATAAAATAAAGTTTTAAAAGGATGGGATAAAGCAAACCCTCACAATAGAGTGCAAACAGAAACAAATCAAACTGATATCATATCAGAGTGACATCGTGACCCCACTGAGCCAGGGATTAGCTCAAGTCCCGAGCACACAGTGGATATGTTCTGAAAACAAAAGAACCACAAACACAAGCGCCTGCTTTCTGTAGTCACTGTTAGTGATATTGGTCTTGTAATTCTGAAACTTTTATGTATGACATAGTATAAAACAAATAAGCAAATATGTATTTTACTGGAAGAGAATAAAAGACATTAGTGATAAAGTTAAAGAACACTCTGTACTGTTAAATTTGAGTTGGAAATGTCAGTTTGAACTCACAATATTTTTTTTCTACCAGGGATTGAATACAGGAGAATTTTATCACTGAGCCACATCTCCAGTTCCTTTTTTATATTTTATTTAGAGACATGTTCTTGTTAAGTTGCTTAGGGCCTTGCTAAATAGTTGAGGCTGGCTTTGAACTCATGATCCTCCATCTTCAGCCTCCTAAGCAAGCCTCTAGGAATACAGGCATGCGCCACTGCACCTGGTTTGAACTCATGACGTTTTTTAATAAAATGGGATTTGTAATTCTATCTGCTAAGGGGACAAGATTGACAATACCCAGCAGCAATGGACATACCCAGAGCAAAGTTCCTGTTCTCTCTATACCTCTCACACTGAAGGAATCAGAGCCCTTAGGAAAAGCCGCTGATTTTAGGTTTGGGGCTGGAAATGTACCACATGAGCCTGGAATATCATGTCCCATCACAAAGCAAAAAAGTACTTCAAGCTCAATGGGATCATGCCAGAGGTGGGCCAGCCTGAGGGATCCTGCTGGACAGAGGCAAGTCCATTCGAACATCAAAATAAATAACGATACTCTCTGATCATAACAGTTTTAAATCCACAAATCCACAGGGAATAATTTTTGAAGGGTGAATTTTTACAGGGGAAAAAATGCCAGCTAACAAATGTAAAAAGAACCAAAGAATTGAAAACCACCATTTTGCAGCCCCTAATAGAGTAGTTGATTTGGGCAAACACCTCTGCTGACTGATGAAACTACTGGGTGTTGGGTTGGACTTCTGAGCACACGAGGATCCCGAGGATTCCCTCCTTGTCACAGAGCAGGGAAATGGAGAGAGGCTTGGTGCTCCAGCTCAGATCAGCAACAGGGGCACACCAGGCATTCTTTGCTTCCGGAGTGATGCAATGAGTGGGTCACCTGTGTGATATTGCCCCCAAGACATTAAACCCACATTGTGCATTCTTAACCAGAGCATGACCCGCATGCAGGCCATTCTACAAGACTCTTCAAAAGGAGAATGTCACAAAAACAAATAGCAATCGCAATTACAAAAAAAAAAAAGGCAAGATACTGCTTTAGATTCAAAGAGACTGAAGACAAAACAACCAAACATCATACGTGAATCTTAATTGGATTCTGGATACAGAAAAAAATCCACCCCCCTAGGAGCCATCTGGGGGACCAATGTAGAGATTTGAATACAGATGGTGTGCAAGATGCTATTATGGTGGTGATAATGGTATTGTGGTTTTGTGGAGAATGTCCTTATTAGGAGATGCTGCGACGTTTAGAAGTGAAGCATCAACATGGAGACTTGCTTGCAAATTGTTCAGTAAAACAAAAGCTAATGAAAACAGAATGAGAGACAGAGATTCTGGGAAGATGTTAACAGTGGTTGGAGAGTCTAGACCCAACGTGCTCTTCTTTCAACTCTTCTGGAAGTTAAAATTTCAAAGTCAAATGTGACAGGGAAGGGGGAGCTGCAGGGTACACAGAGAAGGTCGTGGTCGAGTGGGTGACAGGCCCAAGGCCATCTGCCACCCACCACGGAGGAGTGCACAAGGGCTCTCTCCATTACAGCAGGCTAACCCTTCTTTTGAGGTTTTCCTTCCCTTTCTTTGACCCTCTTCTCCCTCTTTCAGCTCCAGTGCCTGGGTGGACACGGATCCCAACACCCTGTGGAAAGGTTTAATGAAAGGAAAACACACCTGGCAAACCTAGCACAGGTGGAGAGGAGCGTCCCATGCCCCAGCCTGGGCCAGGGGTCCCCACCCCGCCCCCCGTTCCAGGCCTCGAGGCCTGCACTCTTACAGGCGGGTGGGAAAAGTCCAGTTCCGACCAGGGCTCCTCCATTCTTATCGGGGACACCCGGGCATTGCCCATGCGGCCTCGGGCTCTGCCAGGGTAGCCTCTGCTCCTCTGCAGCACCACCCTGGCCCCAAACTGCCTGGGTTCCCTCTTCCACTCATTTATTCAGTGATGGGACAAGTACTTCTTGTGGAGCAGTGCACCAGTCTCTGTGTTAGGCCCTAGGGACACCAGAGGAGCAAATGTCACGTTCTCTGCCCTCACAGAGCTCACGGGAAAATTACAGCTGTGACATGTACCACAAAGGGGAGGAATGAGGTGCCAGCAGAGCTGCTGATGGGGCGGAGGTGACAGCTGAGTGACAAGCAGTGCTAACTACGGTCTGGGTGTGGTTCCAGTGGGTCTCCCAGAGGTGCATGTACTGGAAGCTTGGTCCTCAGTGTGGCGGTATTGGGGGGCGGTGGGACCTGTAAGAAGTGGGGGCTCATGGAAGGTGGTTAGACCACGGAATGCCACCCTGGGAGGGCTTAGTGTAGCTCTCAAGGAACCTGTTAGTTGCTACAAGTTACAAAAGAGCAAGCCTGTCACCAGGCATGGTGGCACACACTTGGAATTCTAGTGACTCAGGAGGCCGAGGCAGGAAGATCGAGAGCTCTAAGCCAGCCTCAGCAACTTAGCGAAGCCCTGTCTTAAAAAATTAAATAAAAAAAAACTAGCCTGTCCTCTGAACTTCTCGGCTTCTTATTTTGCCATGTGATTGATTTCTTCTTACACATGAGTCCACCATGGGCCCTCTGCGATGTGTGGAGGAGCTGCAAGGCCAGTGCTGTGCTGAGTAAATGCTGGTGCCATGCCCTTGAAACTGCAGGACTGTGAGCCAGATAAGCTGCTTTTCTTGAATAAGTACCCAGCTTCGGGTAGTTTGTTATAGCAGCAAAAAATGACTAATACAAGCAAGCAATACAATTAGTTTTGGGGATGGGGTAGATTCGGGGGATGATAAGAGGAAACATATCAAGGGACACTCCCAGGGTTCTGCTTGTAAAACTGGATGGCGGTGACCTTCACTGAGACATGCTGTATGAAGCCTGAAGTGGAGATGGGAGTGACAGGCCTCTAGGCAGACCACTGAACACATGGAGGAAAGGGCTGTGCTGTGCTCTGGGTGGGGGAGAAGCCTGCTGTGTTCTTCCTCTGGGAACTGCCACCACTCCCACGAAGACACATGCAAAAAGGGCTTCAGTCCAGTGCAATCTCCTTTTCTTTTTGTTCTCAGGAGCAGGTTCTGGGCAACATCCTATGCCCCAGGTGACAGGGTTTCTTTGACTTGCTAGCAGAAAGGGTGTCTTTCCCTCATCTCCTAAAAGCAAGGTGCAGAGGGGACATAGAGGTGGGAGCAGGGTGGTGCACACAAGTACGTGTACGCACACGTACACACACACACACACACACACACACACACACACACTCATGCATGATTATTTCGGGATTTAGTGGCCTACAGGTGTCCAATCAGCTCTGTAAAGATTAGAGATCATAGCCGGCACAGTGGTACACAACTATAATCCCACTCAGGAGGCTGAAGCAGGAGGACTAGAAGTTTGAGGCCAGCCTCGGCAACTTAGCGAGAATCTCTCTCTAAATAAAAAGGGTTGTGGATGCAGCTCAATGGTAAAATGCCCCTGGGTTAAATCTCAGTACAAAAAAAAAAAAAAAGATTAGAAATCATTTTATTCACCCAAATGTGGTCAAGGGAAAGTCCAGTGCTTGTGCCTTCCTCCAACTCATCCCCCAGAGTCTCTAAGCCAATTAGAAACTCTTGCTGCAAGTACATTTTATGTGGAACACATTGATGACATGGAGACTCACTCCCAGGTGGACACAGGGCAAAAGAGGACAAATCGGGCCATGGGTGGAAGAAGGGTCTGGGAGAGCAGACCCTTAGGAATTAGAAAATGTGGGCAGGTCAATCATGACAGATGACCAGACACCTGGTCCAAAACCAAGGTGCCAGCAGGGCCACACTGCCTGGCACACACCCGAGGCTCCAGGGCAGGCTCTGTTCCTTGTCTCTTCCTTTCGGTGGCTCCACATCCTCCTCGGCCTGTGGCTGCTAATCTCGGCCTCCGCCTCTCCCGGCCTTCTCCTCTGTTTGTGTTTCTCTCTGGATATCTCCCAGGAGGACATGTGTCTCTGAATTTGGGGCTGATCTGGGTAATGGTCCCATGAGTCATTTCATTTCCAGGGTCTGCATGGTCCCTTTTCCCAAATAAGGTCATGTTCAGGGGTCTTGGGAATGCTCATAAGGAGGTCTCTTCTGGGGACCACCACTGAAGCCACTGCAGCATGAGACTTTCACAGACCATGGGGGAGGGAGGCAGCGGTTAAACTTGCTTGCTTTCTGACTTGGTGCTGGCGCCTTGCGGCGAAGGCCACTCATACTGGGACTGCACTGAGAAACCCATCCTTCCCGCAGGCTCTCACTGCTGGAGAAAATAGGGGACATTCTGAGAAATACTCTTGGGCCCCAACCACCCCCAATCCCGTGCAACTATGCAAAGGACCCCTCTTCAAGCCCTGGCCTCTGCCAGCCATCCCAGGCCCCAAATGTCTTGCCTTGGGCCTGGGTCTGCACAGGCATTTTCTGGCTGCCCACCTGGCCAAACCTCAGCCCTGGGAGAAGGCTCAGTTGGCAATGAATCCTGCATCACCTTGTCTTGGCATGCTCGGGCTGTTCTATGAAGTACCAGATTCCCAGGGAGAGAAGGAGATTCAAAAGGCAGTACTTGGAGCTAAAGCACCTGGGTCAAAATTGTCTTTGAGTTAAGATCTCCATGACCCAGAGAAAAATCCACTTGCCATCTAGCAAGGCAGGCAGGTGCCCCCTTGGCACGGGCAGGTCTGATTTGAAGGCAGGCCTCCGGCAAGGCAGGGGGGAAGGGGAGAAGGAGATCTTTCCCTTTGCTCCTTCTCCTGCAGCTGGAATTCACAGCATGTTGTTTTCATGGGCCTCATTCAGGGACCTCCCCACCAAGGGGGATTCTGAGTAACCAGAATTGATAGACGGCCTGTCACCCCCTCACCCATGTCAGCTCTCTTCCCTCTGATCAGCTGCCCTCTGGAGCCACAGCAGGAACAAAGGCCATGTGTCCAGATGGAGAGTGCAGCCACCACGTCCAGGGCCTGGCACAGAGCTCACACCCAGGAGGTGCGCATGGAACGTTGGATGGCTCTGAGAATCCTTAGGTCCACCAGTCTCAGCTGGGGGACCTAAGAGTCCCTGGTGAGTGAGAGTTCTCCAGATAAGTAGAACCAACAGAATGCAGAGAACCAGTTTAAGGAATTGGCTCATGAGCGTGGAGGCTGGAGAATCTAAGACCTGCAGGGAAGGCCAACAGGCTGGAGTCCTGGGAGAATGGGTGCTGCAATTCCCGTCCAATCTGCTGGAAAAGCACCCCCTCTCAGGAATGGTTTCTTCCCAAGATACTGAGAAAGAGGGGTGTCGGTAGTTTTCTTAAGGCCACCAACTGCCTGGATGAGGCCCTTTACAGAAACATCTAGAATGATGTGATCAGATATCTGGGTACCCTGGTCCAGTCAAGCTGACACCTAAAATCACCATCACTTTCTTTCCCACCCCCACTCCAAGGCCCTTGGGGCTCCTTGGGGTGTCCTTTCTCCAAGTCCTTCTCACTGGCCCCTTCCAGGGTGAGGCTCTTCCCTGACATGTGCTATTCAAAAAAGCCCCAGGGACCTGAACTCTGACTTCCTGGGCCTTTCTCTTTCCGGCTGGGTGAACCCCATCACTTTGAAGGCTCCAGAAACCACCTTTCCCCCAAGTAGCCCCTCCTAGATGCACTGGAGATCTGTAAGCTGCAGAGAGAGGAGGAGCTCTCCCTGTCCCAACCCCTGCTCCTCCAGGACCTGTGGGGGGTGGGGAGACACATGGACCCTGGATTAGGAATCTTACCTGGTTCACTTTCTTCTAGAGCTCAGCAGCATGGGAAATCATAATGCTGGCCCATCTGTCATTGCCTCTCTCCTACCAGAACACCAGCAAGATTTATTTCATCCCAGAAAGAGCCTCGCCAGTGCCCGGTGCAGAGAAGGGCTCAGAGTGTTTATTGAAGGCACAGTGCCAGGTGCGCAAAGGCATAGACGCAAGCTCAGCCCTCTAGACAATTTACAATGTCCACCGATTTCCACACTCATGGGTATTTTCTTCATTTCTCTCCGCCTTGGAGCAGACATCCTTTCCCCCTTCCCTGAGAGTGGGAATTATCTTTTCTCCAACCTGGAGTCTGCCCAGAGTTGAGTGTCCCAGGACAAGTCAGCTTGGAGAAAAGGGACCAGGATATTGTCGGGACCCCGAGGGGGCTGATTCCTGTGTTCCTGCCCCACACACTCATCGGAGGAGTTCCACCCTTGCACCCACTTACCCCTGCATCATTAGGCTCCTGGGGACTCCCCCAGCCACCTTGATCCTAGAGATGACTTTAACGGGTTCCCGGCCCCTGTCCTGCAGCCCGGCAGCGCCTCCTGGTGGTGGACGTGGCTTTGGCAGGAATCAGGCCGGCAGGGCCGATTTAGGCCGATTTAGTCTGATTTGGGGCCAGGGGAACCCGGAATCTAGCGCGCACCCCTCCAACGAATATGAACAGGTCACCTGTTCATTTCCTTTTTCTACTTCAAAAGTAATGGGCTATGAATGTCTTCTCTGATATAAGGGGTGACTCAAAATGGGGTAGGGAGGAAGAGCATGAGAAGAAGATTACCTCTACACAGGGAAGAGAGGTGGGAGGGCAAGGAGGGAGAAGGGGAATTGCAGGGAAGATGGAAGGAGACCCTCCTCTTTATACAGAGTACATGTATGACGATGTGAGGGGGAAAAAAGAATAGTGTTACCTTAGATTAGATAGAGAGAAGTGATGGGAGGGGAGGGGAGAGGATGGGGGGATAGGAAGGACAGGAGAATGAAACAGACATTATTATTGCTGTGTGTGTATATGTGACTGCAAGACCAATGTGATTCTGCAACCTGTACACTCAGAAAAATGAGATATTATACCCCATCTGATTCAAATGTATGATATCTCAAGATCATTGTACTGTCATGTATAACTAATTAAAACAAATAAATTTTTTTTAAAAAAAAAGTAATGAGGGCTGGGGATGTGGCTCAAGCAGTAGCGCGCTCGCTTGGCATGCGTGCGGCCCGGGTTCGATCCTCAGCACCACATACCAACAAAGATGTTGTGTCCGCCGAAAATTAA